GACCAGGCTGCAATTGAGCAGCAATGTCCATCCAACTCTTTTCACAGTTGTTGTGGTCGTGATAATTTTGTGAGGCCATATCGAAATGCTCAGATGAGCTTGCCAAAGTTTTTCAAGTTGTGCCTCTATCGCCTGTGTCCAGATCACACGCTGCACTGTCGTGCTACTACGTCTTTCCACTTTCATTTCTGTTTGCGCGTGTGCAGTGTGAGAGGCTGCGTTGACACCCTCACGAGGGGCGACTGGATTTCGAACAGGTTTGATTTTCCTGTGACCATCGGGACCTGGTCGTGAGGTGTTAGTCGCTTCTCGTTACCAAATGTATACTACACAACACACGATTAAGCTAAACTCAGGCCGATCCCCAAAACGGTCGCACGACTGAAAAATCGGCTCAGGGTCTTTATTCTGCTCAGTGTGACTCACAGCAATGGTCCCAGGTCAGCCCTGACTTTGTGTTAAAGTCATACTAAAGTAATAATGACATTTCTGGTATAGCACAAAATTATCCTTTCAACAGTTATTGAAAGTTAAGAGACATAGCTTGTATGAACCTTATGGGATATTCATATAGAGATCCTCCAGCTTCAAACTGTATTACCCTTCCAGGACCTGAAGCTCAGTAAAGCACCCCTTCAAACCCAATCTGTTCTCTGATTGGAATGTTAAATTTGTGATTGACATGACATTGACCAATCAGCTGAAAGGAAGAAAAATAGGGTCAAAATTCAAACTAGTAAGTTGAAACTCACACAGCCAAAGAACTTGAGCACAGAGTTCTACACATAGCTTATTGCTTTGTATCTGTAACCAGACCTTAACATAAAAAATTTGTAACTTGTGTAAATCTTTTTTACATACACACAAATTCTCATGTATAGACGCAAAAACATAAAAATTTCAGATATTTTTGTTTACAAGGTTACAAAACTCAGTTCACAACTGTGCATTTGATTTAAAAGTACAAAATATTTATGACCACAATTTGAGCCCATAGGAAATAATTCTACAGGTTTACAGAAAAGCAAATTGAAAACAAGGAACAAGAAATAAGAAAACTAGGAATTTCCTAGGCGCACTGAGGTAACAAAAAGCAAAGAGGGTGTACAATGCGACAACGGACAGAGGAAAACACAGGGTTAAAATACACAAGGGAGTAACGAATGAATGGGAAACAGGAGGGACACACATCTGGAACTAATCAGATATAATGAGACAAAGGGCAATCCTAGCTCAAAACAATGAGACTATTAAAGTGAAACAGGAAACACAAGACAGGCAAGAAGACACAGACTTGACAAGGTGGCACAGCTGACTGGGAAGAGACAGGGAACATGGGACACGGGAACAGAAGCTAAACACGGGTTAAGATGAAAACTGAGGGAGGGAGAACTAAAATTACTGAGAGCTTGAGAAAAAGGATAACCAAAACCAAGAACAATAATAAACAAATAATGTTAAACCAAAAAAA